TCCAGGGGTCTTTAGATGGTGGTGCTGATTATATGACTCAATACAGACCAGGCTTAAAAAGCTAATAGCTACACAAAGGCCTGTTAACATTATACTGAAAGATTACAAAGAGAAATGCATTTTTAATTATCTGCATGTTCTGAGATATTTAATGATATTTACTACTTCAAGCATTAAAGTAAAAGTAATGTAGGAAAAACTGTTAAGGCCAGAAGCTTTACTGCTCTACTCTATTAAAGGAACATTTTTCTACAATTCTGGATGGTTACTTCCTTAGACTTCAATTTCTTAGTTTTATAACTAATGCTAACAGTGTCACATTTAACTTTGCATCATCTTGAAAAACTATTTATTTTGGTTTGTGGTGAACAACAAGTTGGGGCAGGACCGAGTCCAACCACAAAGAAATGAATTGTCTGGATGAAACTAATTATTTTTATGCTTTTTATTATTTTAAATACCAACAGGTCATAATGAAAATGAGCTTAAATGAAACAAAACTAAGGAGTTGATTTTTAAAATGTAAGAAGTAGAAAGTAAAAAGTTGTGTCAAATTACTCCATTAAAGTATAGATAGTCAACATTTCTTCTTAAGTAAGGTAAGAAAGTATTTGTACTTTGTTACTTGACGCCTCTGGATATTTATAATAATAGAATATTGCTTACTTGATATTAATTGAATAGCAGTTGATTAAAACTTAATTATTATTGGTACAAACCTCCTGTTTTACAACTTATAGTAAAATACGGTGACACAGTCAGATACACACCAATCAACTTTATGTTGGCTGAAAACTGGATTGATAAACTAATATCTCTTTTTAATTTCCCCTTTTATTGATTAGAATATACCGTATTAGCAGCAGTGGAGTATTCTGCTCCTATGGTTGGCCTTGGAGATGAAAATGCTTCTGAATTTGAAAGAGTAGCAAAAATGTGAAAAACTGTACTGGACTTAAGGGCTGGTTATCCTCCCACAGCAGTGTGTCGCAGAAAGCTTGTAGCAGATTTTTTTGATTTATGTGGGATCATCACAGACACCATACATTCTTATTGGAAATCATATTTCCTGATTGTTCTGAACGGCAAACTGCAAGCAAGACAAAATTGGGGTGTTTTTGACTTCCAAAAAAGATCTTTCCTAAGTTCTTTCTATCATCTGTTAATATAAACTTGATTTGACTAAAAAGTGCTTTCAATGTCTTCCTATGTTTACGTTTTTTTTTCAGGCTTGAAGAGATATTTTTTCCAGATCCCACAGCGTACCTTTAGAGGTCTGGTAGAGTCCGCTGTAGTGCCTATGGCCCCTGCACTCAGAACGACATACCAAATGCATTTCTTATGATTATTATGGTCCCGCACAAATACAGTTATTAATTGGTTCCTTTGCCCAAAACCTATATCCTATAAAGCATTTTTGAAGCTTCACAATAAATCTCCGATGTTTAGATTCTTATTAAATCCAAATAAAAAAACAGTACCTGTGAAACAAACAAAAGCGGGTTTCAACTGCACAACACTTTCAAGTATAAATGAAAAATTTAGAGCATTTAAAGTGAGTATTTTTGTAATTACCAGAACTCAAGGCAAGACAGACAGTGGGATAACTCGAGCGTTTATTTAAAAGCCAGATCTGCAGTGGTTGCGGTAAGGGCGTCTAAGGCAAGAACCTCTACAGGAGAGAAACACAGGTTAGTGACCACGGTAACCTGACGGAGGATGATAATGAATGCGTGAGTCACCAACCTGGTTTTATAGTTCACTCCATGCCCAGAAAACGAGGTAGTATCCAGCCAGTCGGCTAACAAGACGCAGCGGACACTGTCAGAGAGTTCCACACACTTAGCCTTGAAGGACACAGAGGTGACAGGAGATTGGATCCGAGGAGATGATGGAGGAAGGCAGGATAATCCAGAGGGCGAAGTCAAGAGGCAAATCCAGGTCAGTTCACAGTACAATCCAACAGAATCTGAAAACAGGTCAGGCAAACAGATCAGACAGAGGCAGGCAGGCTCAAAGGTCCGAATACAGAAACAGGCCAGGATCAGGCAATCAGCACATTAGTAGAAATGCTGGAAAACTCTCACACCAAAGGCTTAAGAATAATCTGGCACTGATGGCTGGGGACAAAGAGGCTTAAATAGCAGCAAGATCAGGTGGATCAGGTGATCAGTAATGGGAAATTGGGCAGAGTTAGACAGGTGAATGGAATGAGCAATTAAGCCAGCCCTCAGGGCAAAGATCATGCCAATGTTTAGACCTTTGCAGAGGTAAATTTGATTGGTGGTTAAAATAGTGTTCTTTTTCTATTTTTATAAATTTATTTATTGGGGAAACAGATTAGTGATATACATCAAGAAAATACCAAATTTCCGTCATTAAATTTTCTTGTTTTTCCATAAATAAGCCTACAAAGTCAAGTCAAACCAAATCTAAAGGCCACTACTTATAAAACACAAAATAGTTTTCTAAGTATGTCCTGATAACTGTTTTCAAAGGTTAAGGAAATCTAAAATAAATAGGCCAACAAATAGCTATACCTTCACTCTTTGATTCTGCATCTCACTTATTATATCAAACAACAAACTTTTATGATGTGTTTGTTTCCTTAAAAACACTGACCCCCCTGGTTAATTTGGTCTATGATGCTTTCTAAGGGTTCACATTGATCCTTAGATTATAAAGGTAAACGTGACCAATCACCCATGACCAGACAGGATGTATTCATTTAACAGATACACAAAGTTTTTATGTTAAGTTGTTAAGATTTATGTTATTAGCACCTGCATTACTGTTGAGGCAGTGTTTTGGTTTGGTTAAAAAAATCCCTCTCTGGAAAACATAAAGAAAACTACTTTTTATCCAAAGCAGCAAATTTTGTCAATAAACTCTCTCCAATGATCTTTGCTAGAAATCTTAGGTTGTATTGGGTCGTTATCTTATCCGCTCCCAGGCCAGCAGAAAGATATAGTCTATGGACGTTCAGTACACATCCGGAACAGTTTTATCCTCCTGAGCTGACTCCTCTGGATGTGGAGGAGAAGCAGCTCTACTCTGATCCAATGACCCCTCACCCCCCCACCATGGACTGTTCTCCCTGCTGCCCTCTGGGAAGAGGCTTCACAGCATTCAATGCAGGACCAGCAGGTTCTGCAGCAGCTTCTTCCCCACCACCATCACACTGATGAATGTTGAATAAAATTAAGTGGGGAAAAAAGTGCTGAATGTTGGAGAACTGTAATCATTTCTCAGTCTTATGTTTATATCTGTTTACCATGATTCCTTTTTATTACTGCTGCACTTTAAGAAATGGAAATGTCTTAAGAGCTGTGTTGAATGTGGAAGTTATGTCCCCTTGAAGGCAGTTGCGCCAACTGGGAGCAAGTTACTTACTACTCTTAACTCAAACTGGGTAAAACCATGTAAAAAGGACTATAAAAACAGGAGTAAAAAAGTAACAGAGTTTATTCCAGATCAAGTCGTTACAGGACAGAGGAAAATGCTTGGAGTTGGCACAGCTGTGGTCTCAAAAATCATGTCCTCAAGCATCCGGCAAAGATTGAGCCCCGAACAAGGTCATCTCCTGCTTCTTATAGCTCATGAGTCTAAGTGTTGGATCATGTGGATGTTTAGCTGTCCGTATCAGAAACTGACACGCCATCCATGCCCTGACTTGTATGCATCTTGCCTCTATACCCAAGAATTACAGATGGCTTCCCTTTAGCAGTCTGGCTCCAAGATGTGCCCAAGACGAGAAGGCTGTCCTGATTAGATGACTTCCTTACACACAGTGACATCCACAATGTGAAGGAAGGCCTTCTACTCTGTCTAATCTGGCTAACAGAATAACAATGCACATGATGTATAAAGAATAAACCTAAGAGCTGTATGAACAAAATTTCTTTTTTCTACACTCTGTGTTCACAAAATGACACTAAAGTCTATCTAAGTCTAACTCTGGTCCAACCTGAAGGGGACAAGCCACCTTGTCCTGTTCCAGAACCATGGCCTCGGACTTGTAGGACCTGATCTTCATCCTGTCTGCTTTGCACTCGGCCCCAGAACAAACTGTAGGTGTTTGCATGAGGAAGCCAGCAGAACAAAGACATCTAAAAAAGTCAGGGATGATACCATTTCTTAACGTCTTATCAACGTCTATTACTGGACTAAAGTAGAACCGAATCAGACCAACCAAAAACAGCCCAATTTTCAACTATGATTTTTGGACTCATTCAAGGCTATGATGGACGGACTTGATTTAGCCTAAAAACCAATGTCTTCATCATGTCTAGTTTTTTGTGATTATAGTTTAAAATATTAGTTACTCCTTCATCTTCTAATCAGCTTTCTTTTTCATCTGTGTTGTTTCCAGGTGGGTATGATGCACAGCCAATCAGAGGAGGAATATGCCCCCTGGGAGGCCACCCAAGCTCAAACTGAGTGCATTTCCATTCAAGGCAGAACTTCCGGACATGGCTGACTTGGTACTTTTGTTGGATTGTTACTGGTGAGCCAAGATGATGTATGAGACTCAAACTGTGCAGACAGGCAGCTACAAATTTGCCTGGCTATTGACTGGTGGAGTGTGTGTGTGGAGGGGGGGTGCAAAGAAAGTTTTGCACCCGTTTGTCGTGTTTAAGCTGCTGCTGTAAAAACACTCACTCCTCTGATCTATATGTCTATAAAAGAAACGCCTCTGATTCATCTGACCTTTAAAAACATGAAACGTTCTGAACTAAAGTAGCTTTATATCTGCCACTCTGCATTTCTACCCTACATTAGTGTTACTTTGGCTTTAATAATGTTTAAACATTTTATTTACCTAATTTAATCTCCTGCTCATCTGATATTGGTCTCTTTTTTCCATTAAATCTGTCACACTCAATCTATTTTTCTGTCCTAATGAATGGTGCGCACCCTGGCCCCCCTCGTCTCTCTCACAACATGAGCTCTGAAACTTGTATTTGATCACTATTTGACCCTCCTCCCTATAACTCTGCTCTTCCCCAGGGGAGTGAAGGAACTGAAAGAGGAGGTAGACTGGAATGAATGAAGGATCTAGACCAACATGAGGGGAAAAAGGAGCTTTGGAATAAGCAAACAGCACGACTCTGGGTTTTAAATTTTTACTCAGGACAGGTTGAGAGTTAGATGATCAGTGTTCAGAACGTCTGCATTTACGGGCTGAAGCACTGCATGAAGTAAGAGGTGAAGATGCGTGTTCACGGGTGGCTGCTTTGCGTTTTCTGCTTCCACTCCTGCATTGGGTTCTCACAGCGGTGTAGGTTCCACAATATTTGCCAAATGGAGAGAGGCGTGCTGGACGGGGGCTCAAAGGGCCGTGTCAAAGAGCATGTCGGTCACAGCGTGGGACACCAGGAGGCGCCTCACAGGAACAGGCCCCACCGGAGAAAAGGTAAGGCTGCAAGTCACATGGCTGCAGAGGAACGCATGAGGAGGAGAAGTAGCTGGAAGAAAACGACATTCAATCATTTTAGTCCGGCTTAAATCTGGCCTCAGAGGTTCGACGACTGCTTTAGGTTATTGAAGGGATCAAAGAACAAACCGAACAGACTAACAGAAGACATTAAGAAAGTTTCCTGATTAGATTATTCATTAGATTTATTAGATTATCATACAAATACTCTGAAAATATTTGGTTACTGGTTATCAATCACTGGATCGACCAGTGATTGATAACCAGTACGGACTGGGTCGGACCCAGTGGCACCGTTTGTCTGATTGTTGCCTTGGTAACTGGGGTTTGACTGGCTGATACAGGTCATTTGTTTTTTAAAGTGGTTTCTTTAGATCTCTGCATGATGCCTGTTCTTCTTTTAGATCTTGTCATCAGACAGATTCTATTTACCTGCTTTTTATTATTCAACAGGTCAGGCAGAGATTTGATGCATATTTTACATTTTTACTGGGAAGATTTCCTAAATATATGTTGGAGCAAAATAGATATCCTGGAAAATATTTCAGTGACTTTCATCATTTTCTCCATTTTTCCTGAATCAAGTTCCCATTCAGCACGTTTAAGTTAATTTTTTTTTTAAATGGCCGATGCTAAGAGGCGATTGCAGAACTTTTTCAACTTAAAAAAACTTCTTTTTTCTTCTTTCCCCGTCTTTTGCCCGTCTCCTACACTCCCTCTGACCTCTGGGTCAACAGCTTAGAAAAGACGCCTTCCTTCAGCGGATCTCAGCAGCACAACATTCCCATGGGCTGTGTTTTAGCAGGCGGGATTCATGCCTCGTCCTTTCTAAAGCTTTTGTTGTGAAGTGAAAGCTGGCTGATGCCGCTGCCATCCAGCCTGCGCTCTTGGATCAATATAAACATCCATCACTTAGCCCCGGTCCTTTCTGAGCCTCACAATGAACGGCTCGCCACACAATGCCATGTTTGTGAGAGCCATTCGGGGAATGAACTGGTGGAAGTTCACTTACTTCTGGCTCATCCTTGCTGTGGAAACCTGGAAGACTGTGAAGTGTTACATGTGTTTCACATGCGCATTATGTATTCACACTTTTTAATGATTTTTTGCCTTTTATATGGTTTTATTTTAAGCCTACCCTGCACAGCATCCCAAGGACATGAAGTATGGTAGTGACAGTATCATGCTGTGAGTTTTTTTCAGCCAGAGCTAAAAGCAGAGCAGTCCTTGAAGGGAACCAGTCAGGGTCTGGCATACGGTGGATGTCCCCCTTTTAGCACTGTTAGGATTGTTATTATTAATGATGTGTGGCCAGTGGCAGCTGGTGGAGCTTTCTCCAGGGGGAGCTAGAACTTCTTAATAGACGTATATCAAAAAACAATCAAATGTATACTAAGGTATCACACCAGTTAATTTACATGAACAACAAAAACAACATTCTAAAATGTTCCGCTAAGTGCTTTAACGGAAAAGTCTGCTCACATTCAGAATTAAAACTTCTGAAAGTTCTTTAAATATGAAATTATTCCATCCTGTTCAATAAATGATCAGTGTTTTTAAATTAAGAGTAATTTTCAT